GATGAAAGTGGGTGACAAAATGCACTCGCTTCCGAACACACACACAGACAGCCTCTCGACAATATGTGTTTTTGGTGGCTATAGCAGCGCTATAGCGCTGCACAGCAAAAACGCATAAATGAAACAAATAAAAAAATACTCAGTAAAGCCAACGCGAGCACAAATCGTATTAAAGCAGCACTAAATATCCGCAAGAAACTGTGCAAAAACGCATGATCGCACCGGCTCGCCTGATACGTTCCAGCGTGGATTCTATTTTGGTCTTCCTCCGCGCTCCCCACCTTTCCCTTCCTCTTCCTGAGGTGGTGCTTGCGTACCACACTGTACTTACATCGGAATATTGCAATAAACAAGGAAAGGCTGAAATCGGCGAAAAATCAAATTACCACATAGCTGACAGTTGTACGCATGTGCTTACATGTGAACATACAATAGGTCGAAGTATGTTTTGAACGGAGCCCCTTGTCGAAAATTGTTATGTGCCAGAAGGAAAACGAACCACTTCCCTTTGCATCCGGACGCGGCGTGCCATTGCTGTAATGATACGTTCAAGCCGAGATGGCTCTTTCTTTGTCAATGCGCGCAGAAAATGAGCAACTCTGCGTGGTAATTTTCACACCGAACACGTTTGACTCTTTCATCCTACTTTTCTCCGAGTGATCGTGAAAACAGCATTCCGTAAAAGCGCGCCATTAAAATTACAAAAAATGCCTGGTCAAGGACAAAGGTGGTGTTCCATTATGAAATTAATTTAGTCCCAAGACTAACTTACAGTATGCCACAGGCATCACACAAATTAGCAAAAGCATCTGGTCCTAATACAATTGTTCCAGGACATTACCGCATCGTTTTACAAAAGCAACTGTGGGCAAATGTTTTTCTGTATTAAAGTTTTCAGGCTGCTGAAAATAATGGTATCAGCGACGGGAAACCATTTCGTCGCCAGCTTGCGTCGTTCCGCCCGGCTGAGATACCACAAAGCCCAATATCATTTTATGGGCATCTGCCTTACCCAGCTGATTTGCAACCAGATTTTGAAGTGTTGCGGGTAAATGAAGTTGGCAGAGGTGGTGCACTAAAGCTTGTGGATCCGCGATACGTATGGAGCTCCAGTACTGACAGTGTAAAATTCTTCATTTCATTATACTTCAAAAGGAAAGCACACTGAAATTGACGTAGCATAGTGAGAAGTAGTGGTGCTATCGCGCAAAAAGTCGAGATCTCGATTCCACCACTTAAGAAACCAATTCCTCTACAACGCTTTTATTCTTTTCAATAGTAAATTGGTAATAACGCGTGCCGGGAAGTCAAATCTACCATCAGCTAGCCTGGAAGCAATCTCTAAATGAGGGAGCCCAAAACCTACCCTCGGAATACTTCTGAGTGTCTTCGCCTGTTGTAGAGAACGAATACGGAAAGGGTTTTGACTTGGTTGTGAAGATTTACAACTCTTCCGCCGCAAGCGAATTGGGATTTTGCTTTTGAAATTTTAATTTCTTAGCTTTCGTGATACTGATCGCGGTCGGATATGTGCAAACATTATTGTGGCAAAATGCGTTCTCACTGGCTTATTTCATTCATGTAGAACCATGCAAGTCACACTTATTACGGATATTTCCTTACATTTTTGTCCACCTCCGAAACTGTGCAGATTTCAGAGGGCAGTATTTTTCCTTCTCATACTTTTTGTGCCTCCTCCAAAGCAAATTTTGATGCACAGTGCTATTACGATTATTGTCAGCGTTAGTCCGTTTACTTTTTTTTGAAAATATTTGGCTAATTCATCTACGTGAGCTCAATTCACAAAAATTGCGAGCATTTGTTCGTAATCTTCGGGATTCGAGCTCACGTAGATGAAATAAACATATATTAGTTTTTTAGGAAAAATTACTGGAAACAAAAATAATGTGAAGAAAGGAGTTCAAAAAGCTGACTTGTTAGAATGTTGGTTTTGATTTTCTTCTTTTCAATGAAGACTTTTTAGAAATTGATTCATTTCATCGATGAAAATCCATCAACAGCGTCTGATCCAATAGTGTATGAAGTAATTTTCGGCAATCCGGAACAGTTTCTTCGTCCGCGCTTTGAGTTCCCGATCAACAATGTCCCGTTGTTGCTGGAAAAATCGCCGCAAGCTGGCGTTGAAATTGCGCGTATTATAGCTACATCACCGAGTCGCTCAAAGATCCAGTACGAAATGTATGATGATTCCGGAAAAACTGCCGAATATTTTGCCATAGATGCGGATACGGGTCAGTATTTTTGCAGAGCTGGTTTCAACGCTTGCATCCATTACCGGGAATTATAACTCCTCCTCATTCCCTCCCCAAAGTGAAGGAAGGAGGCGCTCTTCACTCTTCTTTTTAGGACATTTCAGATTTTTGCCTAGATTTGTGTCTGATCTCGTGGAATAAGCATAGTGGAGTTTGAAATAAACTTCAGCTATCAGCTCACTAATTTTGCAAAAACAGCTTGCTCTTTTGGCTTATCTCAAAAAAAAAATTCCAGTACTTTTTTGAAAACCCAAGCTCGTTGATACCCAGTAAT